GTGAGATTAACAGAAACTGAATTTTACGCGCATGACGTAAACGCCGTCAGCAACGTTTGACCTATCGATTTCATCTTCCACCATATTTCTGCTGGGAGGGATCGGCTGTAGCTTATAGATGAATTATAGTTGCTCTTTGCTGTCGCGCATTCAACGGTGATGTATGACTCGGCGGGAGACGGTAGGTAGGTAGAAAACATCCACGATGTACGGCCTGTTAATAACAGCAAGAATGAACGAACGACTGCGCACAGCGCGGTATACAGATGCCGCTGGCGGCTAGACCCCCTTTGTGTTTTATTACAAACGATACGTCAACCACGATGTATGAGCTGCTTTTATCTGCGGCCTGTTATTGATGTGCTAAATTGTCCGCGCTGACTCGTAAGACTGGCCAGAACACGCCTGATAGACGTCGCTCAGGGACGCACTAATCGCGCTAGCCGGGTCTCCTCGCTGACAAAGAAATCTCTCTTTCTCTCTTTCTTTCTCTCTCATAGGTAGCGACGATCAAGCTAACGCATCATTCGCTGAGACTTTAGCGAGTTGGCGAACCTTACATCAGAATCTACGTATATATGTGTGTGTGTGTGTGTGTGTGTGTGTGTGTGTGTGATATATGTATAATCGACAAGAAATCGGCAAGAAACATCTTGCTTCCAAAAATAAGCTGCATGCGCGATTTCGTGAAATAATCAAATGTGCTGCTGTATTCACTGAAATGTATATTTTTTCATTGAACAACACGTTCTACACGTCAGCGCTTGATATAAAACATATTATTTGTATATATATTTGTAGCTATACCGTTGAGTTCCGATAGTATAAAGAAAAATGCATGTTATGTTTTTTTTAATAGACACGAACATTTTCAATGAAAACAAGAGACGACTTAATTGGAAGCTCCGACATTTCTACGGTAAAAAAAGCTAACTAATACTGCGAAAATTTTAAATAATATATAGTGAGATGTCTGCTGCTTTAATTTATGGTTTGTTATCGACAATCTGACATTTGCCGTACAATTATACCGAATGGCTGAAATATTTCAATGTAAGTTATCACCAATAAGTCTGACACTAATACCTAATCAAAAAATCTGTTAAGCAAATACGAAATTCAGTATCCAATCTATAAAAAAAATACTTCACAAGTCAATTCTGTTTATCCATTCCCATTTCAAAACAGCCACACACTTCTATTAAAGATGCGTTCACCATTTTTCATTCTATGACAATCTAGTAATATAAATGAGAAATACAAAATGACTTGTGATATGCTGTTTTGTACGCGTGAGTATCTTTTCAACTTCAAATGTAAAAAAAAATAAATGTTAGTAATATGACAACCAACTCGCCGTAATGAAAACGGATATCATGATTTGCAACGCGACAATATAAATGGCTACTAACCAAGAAAAATAAAAGTTCTGGGAATAGCAATAGGTCGTCTACTCATCGCGAGACTATTCTCTCGTCTCTCGTCGCGACCGTTTACTTATATTTCTCGATTCTATTTTTTGATCAGTGTCATAGATTAATTAAGATATCGGAAAAAGATATTACAAAAAAAACAATGATATATATACATATATTTTTTTTTTGGAGAACAACACTCTTGACAAAATAAAAATTAAAAATGTAAAAATCTATTTTTAATGATAGAAATACGTAGGTCAATAAGATAAAGATAAGTTCTATTAATGCTGACTAATGTGTATGTGCGTTTCTATTCAAATGCTCTAAATTTTCTCCCCTTGATTCACGATAGAGCCTCTTCTAAGGAGACAGCTAACATAAGACGCACCATAACTCTGACGTTCTGATCGTGACACATGTCCGTCGCAGAAAAGACGCGCCGAACATGCTGCCAAACGCGCCAGCCGTTGATTTTCCACAAAACGTCTGAACGGTTGATTGACATGTTTATTCGTAATGTAATCTCGCGAATTCGCGTTAAATCACGTTAACGTCAACGCGACGCGTTTGGCTTTGAAGGTTTTAATTAATATAGAACGAGAAATGCGACCCGTTCAGTTATTTCGAATACAAAATATAGCGTTTCTTCTATTCTATTTTCATAAACTTGGACGTTATCGCAAAATACGAGATGTTTCTTAAATAAAAACAATAAAAAATCACGTTAAACAAAAACAATGTCAAAGCTACATAAAAACTTGTAAGAAACGAAATAATAATAATATATAAAAAAAATTAGAGAGAGAATTACAATAAAATATATGGTAATTAAATATAAAATAATATATAGGAAAGTTTAATTCGAAAGACGGACTGTATACGACATGTTTTCTTTAACTGCGTCAGCACAAATCTCGGAATTGATAGACTCCATTGATTTATAAGCATAATAAATTATGGAACATGACACGAACATTAAAGATTTACTAATTGCAAGCGATACGTCATTCGCTGCCTTTATTCACGTTTGTTATTTCAACTTTCACAACGACAAAACATTTCGCTTTAATATATGATATTTTTAGCTGACGGGATAACCCGTTGGACTTGCTGGACATGAAAATACGATCGATGCTAGATGACATTTTTGCGTGTGTAGTAGTAAAAAGTGTCTAAAATTTAATTTAAATTATTAGTTTGAATATTTACAAAATTTGAGCCTTCTTATTCAACAACAACGTGAGACTGTTTTAATTAGTAATAAAAACTGAGACAGTTGATAAAAAAAAAACAGATATTGTATTCATATTAATATTTTACAAACACTTTCATCATTTCAATTTTTAAAAAATTCTGTATAATATTTTATTATAAATTTTTTGCATAATTATTAACATTCAAATATGAAATATTGTATACATAATTATTAAATTGTGCGATTTATATATATAGAATAATACGGTAATCGAAAAATATTATCTTATAAAATAAATAATATATCAGAACTAAAAAAACACTTTCCCATACACTTTTCAATTATTTATAAAATTTAAAAATTGTTACACCTTATATCTCTTTCTTATGTAACCATGTCACGCGAATGCCTTATATCATAAGCTTCACGAAATAATATAATATCATTAATAAAATGATAAAACAAGTAATGTGTGAGTTAGATACATTATGCACACGATTGGTAATCTTAAAAAGTATTTTGAGATAATCTATCTGAAATGTTTGCATTATATAAATAAATTGATTATAACGATATATAATGACCAAGGCAGAGCATTAATTTTTTTCATTCGCTCATTATTTAGTATAGCGGCTAGTTAAGGGGCGAGCGCAGTCTCGACATATACATAAAGACTTTCTGTTACGTCCGACAAGTTACTAATTGAGATTCAGCGACACGCATAATCGTCCCGAAATAACATGGATTCCAATCGGCGGAGGGCGTCGTGAAAGGCGAAATACGGACGGGACCATTCATCCCGACGGTTAAAATCACCGAATATTTCACTTTGCTGAGCCAGCTGAGCCTGCCACCGCCTGTCGCGGCACCCCGGCGATGGAAACGAAACGACGGAGGGATGAAGCAGACCTTCTCCACGGCTCGCTCTCCCGCCTTCCCCGCTCTCCCCTTCCCTACGGGAGAGCCGGCGGCTCTAGAAACCTACGGTTTGCCACCCCCGCATCCCTCTCCGTCTCTCTTCGCCGCGCTATCCCCTTCCCGCTACGCTAGGCTGCAGATTTATGCGCCCCGCCTTGCAGCGCTGATATCCGAGAAGCTCACGACCCGCTCCGTCCGTAATGAAAGAAATAAATTTACTCTTCTGGGGGTGCCCCAGGGATTGAGACTCTTCGTTCGTGTGCGCACACGAACGCAGCGCTCCGCATTTTGACGATGTTAGCAGCGGGAGAATGGCCAATTTACAGATTTTGTCGCTAGATTTGGTATCTTTGACTCACCGCTTAGTAAAAGAATACGTAGTAGTTTTACTCTGCAACGAGTCCATATAATAAGACGTAAAAATCAAGAAGAGGGAAGATTAAAAGTATGTTCGCATAAACGAGAGAAAAGAGAAAATGAAGAAAGAAAAAAAAACTTGAAATAAAAGGAGAAAATGACCATGATATTATATGTATACGTAAACGTTGTAATAAACATTAAATTTTTCGTATGTCTCTCATGGTTTCTCATTTTTCAAATTTTATCCCTGGTTGTTTTATATTCTCATAAAACTTATCTTTTCCTTTTTATTCAATAGGCATGTCATTTTAGTGATATTAAATTACAGACAAATTGGATTCATTTTGCTATTCACTCGAAGACAAACTTGATAAATAAACAAACCATTATTTCGCATAAAGAACAGATATGAAAATACATATGTGTGTTTAAAAGATAAAAGATTAACTTTTTAAGATATATAGTTAAAATACACAATGATATGTATATAAGTAGATTACTCATAATCAGCGCGGCTATTGACAATGATTGACAACATGATGGGATGTAGTTGATAATGATATCATTTCGTGTTTAACTGAAACGTTACAAAATTATTTCATTCATGATAAAAAGAAATAACAGGGTATAACCAGAATTTTATAAAGATTATTTATAAGAGATAAAGAAAGAGTTTTCGAAATTAATAGCTTGAAATCTCCAGACGATTCGTCGTAAATAATTATCTTTATTTTGATTCTTTCGATTTGTTTAACAGAATTATATTATTTTACACAATAAAAACAATATATGAAATATATACGTGTTATTTCTTAAATTGTTCTACAAGGTTTCAATATAGACGAATAATAAATTTTCACATACAAGAAATACGTCTTGTTGCCAGTGAATGATAGATTGTGAAGTGCGTTTGATAAATTATCCGTCAAATATGACTGATGAGCAAAAATCGTAACGGGTCAGCGAAATCAGGCAGAGTGATTTTTATATCTCGTATAGCGCAACAAAAAAAATGCGATATAAAAACGAATCAGAATTAAATATCATATCATAATTTATATCTTTACAGTATATAACATATAGGTACATATAGTTTGAGCAGAGGCAAGTTTTTTTTTTTTTTTTTTTTTTTTTTTTTTTTTTTTTAATTGAGATACATAATCAATTGCGCATTTTGATAATCGAAATATGTAGGATATTAATTTAGTTAAAAAAGATTGTATTGTAAAGTTATATAAAAAAATAATTAACGATTACGAAACATACTGAAAGCGGAGAAAAGGAAGGAATCGGATATATAATCGAACGACATAGTTCAAATGGTAAAATATATAAAGGATTAGATGATTCTACAAACATTGTTTTTATTAAAGCGGTATGGAAACTCAACGATATTTACAAGAAATATTTACAATGCGAATAATGCGTATCGTAGACCATGTGTTTCTTTTATCAGATCATTCTATTCGATATTATGTAAGACGATGTGATATTAAAGAGACAACGCGATTCGATACGCTCGCTATACCTGATCAAATATTCCTGCAATTATCGAATTTCGTGAAGAAAAAAAAAAAAGAGATAAAAACATATTATCTGGAATAATTTTATTTTCGTGCAACGATAACCATATTTGCCTTCTGACAAATGACGACGATAATAAATTACAACGTTGTATTTCATCTTAGAGAAAGATATCTTGTATATTTTCATTAATAATATCTCTTTCTCATATGGATTTTTTTTTCTCGAAAAAGTAGCGTAATATCACAGTTATATCATGGACATAGAAACACGCGAAACCGCGTTATCGAACGCGTTAGGATGAAAGGCTCGCGTTTGCGGAGCGTCGGAAAATATACAGTGTTCATAATACGCACTTTACAATCCTTCACAGGATATGCGTCCAATACATCGCCGAATAACCGATTTAATGTCGTTTGTAACGCGAGGATGTGATGTACAACGAGACGAGGACCTACCGTTGTGTGTGTAAAAAAAAAGCGCCGGAAGATAACACACAACGTCTCTCGTCGTCGAGAATGCGTTTGGAAGCGCGATCAGAAATTCTCCCTCGCATCTAGCGTGTTGAAGCGAGGGAGGCCTTGTTCGTCCAGCAACCGTGACAATATCAACTTACACAGCTGGCATAGGACCTCTTCCCAACCTGGTAACCGGATTTTAATAGAGATGCGTGTTACTCGTGTATCATAGAAGTTCCGCAAGAGAGTGGTGGTGTCGCGATGCAACGTTACACTGCCAAGTGTTGTTTCATAAACTTTAATTATAATCTTCAATGTACACATATATTTATATGTATATATACATATATAGAATTCTTTTAAATAAATTTGTATTATACACAGTGGCTATTTACACAACAGTCTCCGTTAAACGGCAATCTCGTCCGCGTATCTTTGCACATTTTCCAACTGTACACTGAGAAAGAAAGGGGACAGAGAAAGAGAGAGGGGAGGAGAATAAGAAAAGAAAAGAAACAGTTCCTCCGCAAATGATCAATCCTACCCTCGCTGCGTCCCCCTCCCCCCCCCCTCGAGACGTATATCCGTCTTAAGGGTGTACGGCAGCGCCGATTCGTTGCCCGTAAACCGCGTACGGCGAGTAATACGGTCCCAAGGCGTTGAAAGCGCTGTACGGCGAGGCGGCAAGCGAGGCCGGGAGCGGGCCCGTCGGTGGTTTACCGTAAGGATGATATCTGGCGCTGAGGGGGCTCAGCGACGGCGCGGGATAAGTGCCGCCGCTGGCCCGATGGAGCGTCGTCGACGGCGACAGCAGCGGATGCTGATGCGGATTGCCGAGGAGCGCCGCCGCGGAGGCCACGTGATCACCGCCGCCGCCCAGGCTCGTGTGGCTACGTAGATGCTGCAGCAGCTCCTCCGACGTGGTGAATCGCTTGCCGCAGTAAGACTCGCCGGCGATCCAGTTGCAGACGTAAGGCCGACCGCCTGCCAGCGTGGACGGATAGGACAACGACGGGGGTGGCATCGGGCCCAACGACGACAACGCCATGGCCAGGCCGTACTTCTGATGATCGCACTGAGTACAACCGCTCGGACAACTGCCCGCACCCATCATGATCTGGGTGTTGTGCATGCTGTAAGGGCAACCAGTGCAATAGGGATCCTTGCAGACCGGTACTAAGGCTTCGCCGCCGGCTGGAGTCTTGACGCGGGCGTAGGTCAAGTACGGATTGCCGCCGGTCGGACTAGCCGACGGATAGCCGAGCAGCGCTGCCGCGGCGGCATGATGATGCGAAAAGGGCGATGCGCCCGCGAAGGGCGGCCTGAAGGCGGGATTCTCGGCCAGACCGGGCGGACAGCACAGCGGATTGCTGGAGAAACCTGGAAGACCCGGTTTGTAAGCCGCCAGATTCGCGTCCTTTGTATGCGCGCCGGAAAGGATCTCCATTCCTGATCTGATGATCGGACTGGTACCGTTGTTATTGTTGTTGTTGTTATTGCTGCCGTTGTTGTTATTGTTGATGCTCCGCGGTGATCCGTCGGTCTTCTCGCGATCGGCCGGGGTCTTTCGGTCGACCGACGGCGTGCCGCTGGTGGCCGTCGCTTGGCCGCTCGGCGACGCGGACTTTCGGCCCACCGGCGTACGATTACCGGACGATTTCTTGTCGGGATGCATGTTATCACTCACACTGATACTATCCTGACCACTGACACTGTGCACACTGGCCTTGGACGTGGGTCTGCCCTCGTCCGAGGTCTTCTTCGTCACGACATTGGCCTCGTACGGCTTGAACGCCAGCGACTTGCCGTCCGTCGGACTGCCGCGCTGACTGTTGCGTTCCAGTTTCGCGGCCGGCGGCGATTTCGCGTTCGTGGCGATATTTATTCCCTTCGAGCTCTTCTCCAGGGGCGATATTAGCGGTTTTGCAGGCGAATCCGCCCCGATTTGACTACATGTCTGCGCCAATAACGCCAGCGGACTCTTCTTCGCGTCCAACTGTCGAAAGAAAGTAAAATGAAAAATAAGATCGATGAAGAATACGACAGCATTTAGCTGTAGATATATGCAAAAAGATGTACTTTCTCGATTAGAATGAACAATGCGATCTCCGATATATGCAAAAAGATGTACTTTCTCGATTAGAATCAACAATGCGATCTCCTGCTTGGTTTCATCGGATCGCGGATAATCTTATTGAAAAATTAATAGAATAAAAAAATACAGCAAATCTTGACTATTAATTTTTCATCATATTTACTTATATTTCCGTAAAGAGATTGACACTATATTCTTTGCCAGTACCGATAAAATTATAATTTGAGCATAAAGCGTAAAATAAAAATTAGCGTAGGATACTAACCGTGGTTGGAAGCGGAGAAAGATAATCCGGTGGTAAATATTGATTGTGTCCAGTAGTCAACATACCGCCTTCCTCGAGCACAACCATTTGGGTTACCCACTAATATAAATCTCACTGCACTTAAACCAACAGGTAATATATTTACACACAGAACCGTGCAATATTGGGTCGCGCGCGTCGGACCCGACCGGCAGGATCGCCGTGGAGAGATCCGCGAATGCCTGCGTCTCTCCGTCGGGAGGAATCGATCACCGCCTCGGTAGCGGCAGCGTATATTCGGCGACGACGCGTACTCCGCGAAATCCAGGAAAGTAGTGGCGGCTCGCGCGAACGAGTCACTCGACACTGCGACTGCGAGAGGAACGGTTTGCCTGCGCCGTCTGGTGTCTAGCGGCGCAACGCGATCTCTCCTCGTTTTTCCCTCTCTCTTCTCGCCACCATCCACGACGACCCGGGGTGTATAACCTGTCCTCTCCTGTCATCCCTACACGAGAATAGAGGGAGAGATGGCATTATGGTGGGAGAATTGCGGTGGGGTTCGGTGCTGTGTAGGGTGTGGGAAGGCATTCTAATTCAACACGCCACCCATGATGTTGGCCCGACGATGACAGCTCCCATCCCGGCTTTGATATTTCACCGCTTTTACAGCCGTCCATCCCCCCTCCCCGCTTCACCGACCGACGAGCCCCTTTCCCCCTTGCCCCTTCCCTCATGCCGGCTCCAGTTCATCGTCCCTCTCTCTCTCTCTCTCTCTCTCTTTCTCCCTCGCTCTCTGTCTTTCTCTCTCCAACCATTTCCTCTGCCACCCTTCCCCGCTAGTGCTACCACAGCCGCCACGACACGGAACCGTCGTTCCTGCCACCACGGCAACCCGATATTTTATACCGTGAAACCTGTCTGTCTCTCCAGCCGGCCCCGCTTAATAAGCAGCTTTCAAAATAGAAATGTAATGGGCCGCCAGGGGGAGGGGAGAGGGTCGGGTGATTGATTGCTCGCTCAGCGACTTACCGACTTGCCGCGGCCCCACGGGGTAACGAATGACAGCCACTTAAGCGCTGTTTGCCTACAGTTTTGTAAAAGCGTTTTAATTATCGCCCCGGCTCCGACTCCGGCCCCGGCCCTGGCCCCGGCCGCAATACGCACTGAGTCATCCGGTACTTAACGCCTCGTGGCTATACCAAGCTCTCGGTGTTTGCGTGCCATTCTTTATGTCGCGTTGTTGATCGGGCGCTCCTCCTCCAATTCATCGGTAGCGGATAATCGCTGCCGAAATGACAGATATTGATCTTTGCTGTGTGAGCAGTCTCCAAGTGCACATTCTTATAGTATCAGAATATCGTACACGCGCGATGCGAAAATTTTCTCGCAGCTTCTGGCTTATGAAAAGTCGCTGAGAAATTTAAGATAGCAATTTCTGCAATTCCAACGCACGCAGTTTTAAATAAAATAACGATAGCGGCTTTTTATCATCGATATGCCGAAAGTCGAATATGCTTATAATATGCGGAATGAAACGCGCAGAATACATATTTGGTGAAATCCGTCGGCGCATTCACGCGTGTAACGCATTTACACGCGCGCTCACCAAGCACGCATTGTGCGCGTCCGCTTGACGAGCGATACGACCATTAAAGAGCTCGACTATCAGACCTCGTTCAAACTGAAACGCTCCGCGGTTAGGCGATTATGGCCATTCCGCTAAGTACGGCTTAAGCAAGATAAAGCGATCGATGAAGTAACTATGTTACAAGGTAATTACGACGAATTATGACGATATCCACACGCCCGCTTCGTAGACCGCATACCGCGGTAAACAATAATTACCCTGGGGAGCACTTCGCGCAG